CTTCCCAAAAAGGAACACTTTTGTCCTTTTTTGGGAAGTGATTTCCAAAAAAGAACACTTTGCTCTTGGACTCCTGGACTTCAGGAGTCCAGGAGTCCATAGGAGTCCAAAGGAGTCCTAGGAGTCCATAGGAGTCCAAAGGAGTCCTAGGAGTCCATAGGAGTCCAAAGGAGTCCTAGGAGTCCTAGGAGTCCAAAGGAGTCCTAGGAGTCCACACGGACAAAAGTGTTCCTTTTTGGGAAGTGATTCCCAAAAAAGAATACTTTGCTCTTGGACTCCTGGACTTCAGGAGTCCAGGAGCCCATAGGAGTCCAAAGGAGTCCTAGGAGTCCATAGGAGTCCAGGAGTCCAGGAGTCCGCTATTTCCCCCTTGCGTTTGTTCCTTTTCTAAACAAAGTCAATCAAAAAACAACCGAGTACTTCGTTTTCTGAAACGGATAGTAGTCAGAAAATAAAAGAGAATTCGCAATCGATGGCTACCTGACCTAGATGGTGACCTAAACTCCTCAGAAAATAAACGAGAATTCACAAGACATTTTAACTTGAACTAGTTCAAGAAAGGAATAAAGATTGTACGTCTATAGCCAGCATGAAGACGCTGAATACCGAAGAGCAAAGAAAAGAAAAACTGACTTCGTCGCGAATGCGAATTTTCCATGATCTCCAAATATCTCAGATACAATAAACATCTCAATACGCGGATTACGCGCATACTGAGCAAGTATCTCAAATATCTCAAAAATCACAGATACCCTAAAAATCTCAATGCGCGGACTACGCACACTGAGCAAGTATCTGACATACATCAAATATCTCAATACGCGGATCAGGTATACGGAGCAAGTATCTCAAATATCTCACTACGCGTGTGCGATGGATTAGATAAGAAAGTCAACGTTCTCGTGTAGAGTTGTTAAGATGAAAAATGGTTACGCGGCGTAAGAGTATTAGAGCACATCTTACGAAATCCACTTTGCTCCTTCGGAAGAACGCCAGAGTTTTCCATCCATCGTCTCAAGTACCCAATGAAATATTTTTCATAAACTTGTCCCATGCATGAAAGTAATGAGATTGGACGAGTGTTTTCTACAGATGTAATTGTACTTTTCTCCTTTGGTAACAGAAACATGCGTGCGTGTTTCCAATATTTTGGGTATGTATTAGTAACTAATAATCGATTAAATGCAGTCAACAGAAAGGAGTAATGACCGAACAGAATATTTTTAAGTAATTTGTTCGACACTTTATCGGGACCAGCTGAATTTTTCGCTTTTAAACTCCGAATGGCCGTTTTGAAATCCGTCATTTTAAACATGAACGGAATAGATGGTAATTCTTTCACATTCTCGGTGAAATTTCTCACATAATTCATCACATCCTTATCGATACGAGTTTGCTGATCAAGAACATGTTTTCTAAAACAGTAAGAATAGTAGTTATATGCATGGTCAGTCATCTGATTCGTATCTGTGATGATCAAATTGTCTGCTCGAATCAATCCTTGAATTGGTGAAGTTTTGTTTTAAATACAGTTTTTGTTCTTCGTTAGAATTGTTCTGTTTTCTTCGGTTCGAGAATACCACAAAAATCTTTGCCATGTTACACGTTTGATAGCTCTAAATTCGGAGTTAATAAAATGATTAATTTATTTTAATAGATCTTTTAGATCATCGGTTTTTGAATGACAATAAGATTGAAGAATCTCTTTTCTATGTTTCAAAACACCGACGAAGTATTGAGGGAGAGATGGACGGTATTTGTTAGCCAAACGACACGATGTGCATCGATCTTGTAAAGCCACGAGAAATTTTTCATGTAACAGAAGTGCTGTATCCGGCGTACTTTTCATTAAGTTAAATTGATCATGCCAATACGGTTAAAATTTTTGTAGTAAGACATTAAGTAATTGCCAATCAATTTTTCTCACAAAATAATTTTCATGTCGATTTAATGTAATAGATGTGATTGTCCAGAACACTGGATAGTGGTCACTGATTATAATCAGGTGATTAGGATCAGCTTTCTCTAATGATATGTCTACTCGACTAATACATAGATCAATAATAGCATTAGAATATCTGGATGTTGGTCTGTTGTCATTAAATACTGTCATGTTGTCATGATCACCGAGCCACTTTGCTAAGTGATCTTCCTTTCGATTTCTCTTTTCATCGTGCCAAAGACAATGTCGTGCATTCAGATCATCAACAATAGTTAAATGTTTGTTGTATCTATAGAGTTGGTCGATTAAGTCGGTTCTGAACCGTTCATTTGGCGAAGAGTAAAATGTAGCTATTGTATATTTTTTATTCTTGTTGAAGACATCGACGACAATTAAATTTGAAATGTTAGTGAATTTTTCTACTATCTGATGTTTTGCATTTATATCTATCGCCAAAGCCACTCCACCGAATTTGTTTGTTCCAGCGTGAAAATAAATAGTGTATTTTGTTTTATAATAGTTCGCTAAACGAAAATTTGTGTCGTCATTGCTCCTAATACCATTTAAAGCAAAAACCACTGGAGAAACTTCATTAATATAGTGAATAAGATCGTAGAAATGTGTGAGAAGGCAAGCAATATTGAATAAAAGAATATTGAAATGGATATTCGTTGATGTCTTTAAATGTTTATTACGGCTTTGCCACTTATTCAATACTGATGTTAGTGTAGATGATGTCGACCACTCATTCAGGATATTTACAAAGTTTTCCTCCTGATGATGCGAATTTAAATAGCTTAATAGTTGTTCATTGTCTGTTAATCTCATTTGAAGGATAAAATTCTTTAGCGTTTGGATTCATGGTGTTGTGTTAGATGTAGCTGCTTCATGCAATTTTCTATTGTCGAGATTAAATGGCAGTGCTAAAACTGTAGATCGTGGAAACATAGGAACTGGACCGTGGTAGACCGATAAATCCTGTGTCAAAAATGTTCTTCCATTTGTAGGTGATGGTACACTCGATAATGCATAGTTTGAAATCGTGTGCATGTTTCTATCTTCCTCCTTTGGTTGCGGGTGAACTCATTTTTGCTGAATTTGATAAAGATGTTCAAGTTGTGCCATCTGAGATAATGATTTTTGTTCCCCATCCACTTTAATGATGCCAGTTTGTCCCAGTTTACTGCAGAGAGAAGAGATTAGACCAGTCAGCACATTCATCTGCGGAACAATGTTTTGTTCAAGCTATTTTTTCATATTAAGCTGTTCATTGCTACCGATCACACATTTGAGCTCTAATTCATTCATTTTATTCAAAATTATTGCTTGAGAATCTTTTATTGCTTTTTGAATAATATCAGCTAATGATGCTGTTGGGTCTGTCTGCTGTTCATTGAACTGTCGTGCTGAACTTGTTATTGGTGATTTCTTCATCAGGACTGTGTTATTTTGAACTGATGTTGTGGCCTCGATTGTTGTTGAACACATTTTAGCTGTTGATGGAAACCACGGATTAGAATTAGGTATAACTGATTGGTTTTGTCGCTGTTGTAGGAAATGTTTTCGATACGACACTTTGTATTGACATTCAGGAGCCCCGGCCATATGTGCTCCCTGGCAATTTGCACATCTTATTTGATTCAGACAATTTTTATCGCACGCATACTCTTGTCCACATTTAAAACATTTTGCATTGTGTTATTAAGTGAGTAAGTAATTAAGTAAGTAATTTTATTTTAGTCCTTGATCTTAAAACTGACTTGGTGATGATGAAAGTTTAAAAGAAACTTTGTCTAGATCATACCGAACAAAGAAATGTGTTGACATGTGGCAGCTGAATGGCCGTAATCCTGACATTTGTAGCATCTCTTCAAATAAACAGGTGCTCCGTACGGAAAGGCAGAAAAACACACCGAGTCCACATAGATACGTCCATTGTTTAATATCATTTGTACCTCGGTACCCGATCCGAAATCTACTCTAATTCTGTTTGTTGCTTAGTGATTTCCCGAAAAAATTCTTTTTACATCTATAACCGACGGATATCTCTCACGAATTAATGCAGCGATATCGTTGATTTCCCATTCTTTCGGAATATCTTTTATTATTATTGAGCGACATACTGAAACTTTTTTCGATGGAATCAAAACATAACTCAGTCCACAGAGTTTTTGAGGCCATTTGTTTCTTTCACATAGGTGCTCAAACGTTGATGAATTATTGGCAAATATTAACAGTTCATTGCCGTGCTCTTGAGAATGAGGCTTTCTTCTATCAGACTATGTATAAGAAAAACTTTTAATACATACGAAAGGAAAAAAACTTTATGAAACTTTTAAGGCTCTGAAGAAAAAACTCAGAAAAATTCAATAACTTCGCAGGAAGCAAATAAGAACCCAAATCCTTTTGGGCTTTTTACTAGAACACTATACTCTTACTCTCATATTCCACCATCTTTTTTGAGGTGTCAACTATTAGTGAACCATCATCTTCACAACAACAAGGTAGTGGCAATGTGCCATCTCTACCATCTGATTTATCAAAACGATCGAAAATTAAACAAGTTAGAAAAATTGGTTGATAGAACTCAACTAGAGAATGAAATATTATGCAAAAAAATAAAATTCATTGAACAACAACAAAAACAAAGTGAAAAATCAATGTTGGAAGAAAATGAACGTTTACGGCAAGAATTAATACAAACAAAAAATCAACTAGAACAAGAAGATAAATATCAACGTTTTAATTTGAATAATAATGCCACTATAACACATCATGACAATAAATTGAATG